GTAATATCTGCAGAGCAGAACTTACCTTCCACAGCTATTATTTTTAGTTAGCATATAGCTAAAATCTAACCATGGTTATATAACAGCAGATGCATTCTGACGTGATAAGCTGTATGTTTTATATTCAATTAACGTATGATCTGATTAGTCGACTAATTGAAAAAATAATCGATGATTAATCGATTATWAAAATAATCGTTTGTGGCAGCCCTACTCTGCATGAATGTTTTTTTCCTGGTATTCCAGTTTCCTCTCATAGACCAAAAACATGCACCTCAGCTTCACTGATACACACTATATGTCTAAAACAGATGCTTTAAAAATGTATTTATTTTGAACAAAATTATGTTTATGTCTGAACTCAGCTGCTAAAAGTGAGCCAGTCTGTCAGGAACTTCTGGGCCACTTTTTCTTCCCAGTCCACCCCTGGGTGCAACCAACTCTTAAACTAAAGCCCTTGTTTTATTTGGCCCACACACTAGAAGTCAATTAAAAAAAGCAAATCGTCAACTCACCTTATTTAACTTCTGTCAAATGAGTAAACAAGGAATCATGTCTAATATAAACAGGTGTGTGATGGTAAGTGGGTGAGAGCACCAAGGCCAGTCCAGATGAACAGCAATTTCGGAAGTTATGATGTCATATTGTTTAGGCTCCTTCTTGCAAATACAAAATGATTCGATTCAAATACATTTTCTTCTTCCTTCCCACAGTAAGACGTCCTCGGACCCCTTCACCTGAAAAAGAAGACCCTCCCAAAGAAAAACCTAAACCTCTTGAAAAGCCTCGGCCTCAGCCCACTTCCAACATCAGGGAAATCATCAAACAGTACAACAGTCGTCCTCAACCAGAACCCAAACCCTTTCAGCCCGTCAGGTCAGTTTCAGCTCCTGTTCTCATTGTAAGTTCATTTAAATCGACTTCACTCTGCTGCTATCAACTTCACTTCTGTTTCACACATCAGAAGGTTCATAGAAAATAACTGTTATTGTGGTAAGAATAAGAATAATAAGAGGAGGAGGAATAAGAACATTAAATATAAAATAAGAAGTAGAAGAAGAAGAAGACTAGAACTGCAAAGCAGTTGTGACCGGGGTCCAAGCCTGTGTACGCATGTCCACCTTGGCCCATGCCGTCCTGAGCACACTATTGACATGTGCATCACAGTGTTGTAAAGGTTTAAACTCAGCGAAACTACACTATGACCACTAAGCTCCTAACCGTGTAGTGGAGACATTTATATAAGGTCTACTTGAGACCATAATATCTTAATTAGATTTAGGTCTCAGAAAAAGGTCACCCCATATTCATATGTCCTTGGTTGCCTTCTGTTCTGTCTTTTTACTGGGAGCTCCATTATTAACATTCATAAATCATTATACCAACTGTGCCTCCTCTGGAGGTCAGTCAGCCTGTACCCAAACCATCTTAATCTGGCCATTCATTACCTCCCACTTGTTCATCTGTAATGTTTTATTGTAACTCCTGAGACTTTCCTTTCTCCACTCTGTCTTGGCTGGGACTCTTTCTTCACCTTTTTACCACACTTCAAATTTTCCTGGATAAGCTACTTGTAGCCTAACTGTTCTAGGTGCCTCTCTTTTATTAACTCTACATTTTACACGAATATTTGAACATAAGTACTTGAGATCCTATAACTTTGTGCCATGTGCTTCGTGTAATCTTTCCGTTTCACCTGGCCCCTCCCATTTAGACACCTGCTCTGCGGGCTTGGGTCCCTAATAAGAAGAATAAGAAAAAGAAGTATAATAATCTTAAGAATAAAGAAAGAAGACAAATATTAATAACAACTAGACATGGGTTTTTACGATGTAAGAACAAGTGTGCATTGCCTTGCAGCATACCTTTGCCTGCAGAAGTGCACTTGCAGAATGAATTGTGACCAAGTTTAAATGTGTTTTCTATACCAGCTTGTGCTTGTCAAGTTAGCAGGTGTTTGTAATGGGGGTAATTGTGTGAGAATATGTTTAAAGAGATTTTTTGTTGAAGTTGCAATAGCTGGGATCTGAACCCTGATCTCCCACATGAAAGTACATGGCATTCACCATGCAACCAGTGGAGCTGTGGGATAGTGCAGTCCCAGTGTTTTTTTTTCTATGTGTGTAGAAAGAGCCAACATTGCCAATGATGATGGTTGACACAGAACTGCATAATATTACAACAATAAAGCAATATTAGGACAACATTGCTTGTCCTAATATCAAAATACAATCATATTAGTATTGTAAACATTAAACTACTGAGTTTAAATATTATTAAGGTGCAGTACCAAGTTGAGTAGATACAGCAGGGGGCAGTATTGGACCAATATAAGGCTCCATTGACTCCCATTCTAATTTATTAAACATTAATATTTCAAAAACTATGAGTTGTACAGGCACCAAAAGGCATAGCCATCATTTGGCACAGGAGCTTTACAGATATAAATTACAATGGCAGCTCTAGGACAAAGTATGCAGGAGGAGAAGCATCCCAAAGTGGAGATGACTTGGATGGGAAATGAATCACAATAGTGTGCGTTGCATTGGCAATGCACACTGACTAGAAAATTTCAGAAGAAATTTAAAAGGGGCTTGCCCAAGTTTGCCTAACTTGGAACAAAATGAAGGCTAGGAAGGCCGGAAACCCATCAGAACCACCTAAAACCAAGCAAAAAGGGGCCTAGGAGGACTGAAAATCCCTCAAAACAACCAAAAACCAAGTGAAAGAGGGCCGAAAACAATTAAAAACCTTCATAAAGCAGGTAAAAGGGTCCTAGGAGAGTCAGATACCCCTCCAAATCTCTTCAGGTCCCTGTTTAAGATATTAGAGAAGAGTCTGAAACTCACATAAAAAGGCATTCAAACAAAAAAAAAACACAGTAAACACTGAACTGCTACAACACCCAGTGAAGAAAAAAAGACAAAAAAATAAGAAAGAAAGTCGTGCTCACACTCCTCTCATAAGAAGAAGAAAATAGACACCGCATAGTGGTAACATAAAGACCCCCGCATGCACAAATGCACCAGAACTCAGAAGTCTTTACTCCTAATAAATGTCATGCTACTAGGTGCATCCCAAATTTGTAGTGGTTTGGGTAGGGGCC